TAATTTTGGGGGGGGTCCCCAAAAACCACCTGCAGGTTTGGTGATTCATTAGAAGGAATTATAGGACTTAGCATATAGTTGTACTCATGACTAAGACTTAACTATAGCAAAAGGATACAACATAAACAACAAAAAGACGAAGTACACAAGGCAAAGTCCAGAGGAAACCAGGATCAAGTTTCCAAGAGTCTTCTCCTAATGGAGTGTCACAGTTCGTCTTTAATTCCTTCACCAGTAAGTTGTGACAGTAAGTGCAAAGTGCTGTTCATCAGTGAAGCTCCCCTAAGCCTAGGAACCCAGGGTTTTTATTAGAGGTCAGTAACTTAGACATCCTCTGCCTAGCATGTACCAAAATTCCAGAAGGAAAGCAAGTGTTCAGCAGAATGTACAGTGTAAAACAGTGTAGGCCCAGTGACCCACTCTTATAATTTAGGGAAAGTTTTATATCAGTGTAAAGAACTGTTAACTGACCAGGTTCCCAGACCCCAGTCAAGGGCTGACTCTAAAAGCAGGCCTTTATAAGGATAGGCAATCTCAAGCCTGCTATATTAACTCTTTTGTACACAGCAATAATAATGAACATATTGGGTAAAATACTTTATGGTGTGATTTGTTCTTAATTTAGTTTATTGTTTCAGGGTGTATTGAGTAAATCAATTAATTGGAGGGAGCTGGAAAAGCAATATTATACCCAGACAGTTTATGAAGAAGAAATTATTCACATGCTTGAATACTGTGGAGTAAGTATTTTAATTTCCACATAACATTGGGGTAAAAAGTTGATTGTATATTTAAATTCAGATTTTTAAAGAGAATAGCAAATTTTTAAAAATATAGTTGTACACATCATTTTTTACTTTTAAAAACTCATTTTAAAATAAAACACAGATATGAAAATAATGCAAAGCAAATATATGGTTTTCTATTAATACATTTATTAAAGGACAAACATTGGCTGGGCATGGTGGCTCATACCCATAATCCTAGCACTCTGGGATGCCAAAGCAGTAGGATAGCTTGAGATCAGGAGTTCGAGACCACCCTGAGCAAGAGCAAGACCCCATCTCTACTAAAAATAGAAAAAAAAATTAGCTGGGTGTGGTGGTGCATGCCTGTAGTCCCAACTACTCGGGAGGCTGAGGCAGAAGGATCGCTTGAGCCCAGGAGTTTGAGGTTGCAGTGAGCTAGGCTGACACCACTGTACTCTTGCCATGGTGACAAAGCAAGACTCTGTCTCAAAAACACAAAAAAGCAAACACACTGGTAACTACTCCTGGGTCAAAAATAGAACTTGACCACCCAACCCCAAAACCCCTTCCATGTGTCCTAATCAGAAGGCTTTCCTCCCTCCACTATCAATCATTATCCTGATTTTTACGATAATTACTTCCTTCTGTCTTTAAAATAATTTTATTGTCCAAATATGTATCCCTAGACCTTATAGTTCTTCTATTTGATGTGTCTTTTAATCCGTAAGTTCCCTTCCATCCTTCTTTTTCTTTTTATTTCTTGAAGAACTTAGGTTATTTTGACCTGTAGAGTTTCTCACAATCTAGATTTTTCTGATTGTATTCAGCATATTACTCTACATTGCCTGCAAATTGGCAGCTGGATTTAAAGGCTTGATTAAACTCAGTTTTGATTTCTTTCTCAAGACTATAGGAAATACATAATGTTTGGTTATTTCTTTTCTTGTGATGTAAGCTTCCACTGATGCTTAATGGCTGTATCTGTTAATTCATGGAGGGTTGCAAAATGCTAATATTCTAATTCTCTTATTTATTTTTCATTTATTAGTTTGAATACTTTTATATATGTGTGCGCGTGTGTGTGCGTGTATTTTTTTTTTCTCTTAAGTCAGAGTCTCGCTCCATCACCCAGGCTAGAGTACCATGGTGTCAGCCTACCTCACAGCAACCTCAAACTCCTGGGCTCAAGCAATCCTCCTGCCTCAGCCTCCCTAGTAGCTGGTACTATAGGCATGTGCCACCATGCCCGGCTAATTTTTTCTATTTTTAGTAGAGACAATCTTGCTCTTGCTCAGGCTGGTCTCAAACTCCTGAGCTCAAGCAGTCCTCCTCCTCAGCCTCCCAGAGTGCTAGGATTACAGGCGTGAGCCACTGCGCCGGGCCTTGAATACTTTTTGTTTGATTCTTTCCCCTAATTTACCAGTTGTCAGGATAATGAATTGATTCCCTTATTATTCTTCAAAGGTGACCAGTTCTTTACATAAATTTAAAAATTTTGTAGTTTGAAAGACAATGAGACCTCAAGAAACCTCAGAAAGAAAAGGAATCTTTCTACTATCAATGAGGATTCTTTATTTATAATTACATGACTGTAAACCTCACTCTTGTAAAGTAGGTCTATCTTGTATAACCTCAAAGGGTAGTTAGTTAATTGCTTGCCTAAGAACCTTATTATAAAATAGCTTTACCTGCTAGTTAGTTCCTGTGTTCCACTATATATATAAACAGAAAGATACCTATATTTGAAAGCTTATGAGAAAATGTAGGTGTATTTTTTAAAGGAAGTTCATAAATTTTGGTTGTTTGAAATGGAATGTAGTTGTACTCCATTTTGTGCTGCTATAACAGAATACCTGAAACTGGCTAATTTATAAGAACAGAGATTTATGTGGCTCAGTTATGGAGGCTGGGAAGTCCAAGGTGGAGGGACTCAAATCTGGGGAGTGTCTCATCTCATGAGAGAATGCATGTGTGCATGCAAAAGAGAGAAAGAAGCTGAGTGTGGTGGTGGCTCACACCTGTACTCCTAACACTCTGGGAGGCTGAGGCGGGAGGATTGCTTGAGCTCAGGAGTTCGATACCAGCCTGAGCAAGAGTGAGACCCCGTCTCTACTAAAAAAAAAAAAAAAAAAAACAAGAGAGAAAGAGAGTGGGTGAGGAGGGTGGAAGCTGAACTCATTCTTTTATCAGGAACCTACTCTGGATAACTAAACCACTCCCACAACAAGGGTATTAATCTATTAATGAGGACGAGTCCTCATGACCTAATCTACTCTAAAATGTCCCATTTCTCAATACGGTTTCATTGGGGATTAAGTTTCTAACACATGAACTTTGGGGGACACATTCAAACCATAGCAGTGGTCTTACCCAGCACTTCTTGACTCAGAACCAGTTCACAGTAATGAATATTCAGTAAATGTCAAGATGACTTCTTTATTCTTTATGTTTTCCCAATCAAAAGAAGTTAAATTTGTTGGTGTACCACTCTAAGTAGTACTAAGACCCTTTGATTCTTACAGTTCCAATTGTTACTAAACTTCTTTTCTCTTTTATATTTCTGTGGTCTGGATGGACTTAGTGATTTGTTCTGGTAACCAGGGTATTGTTGGGTATTTTTTTCCTTGCTTTCAACCAATTTTTAATT